AGTAAATCAATACCAGGATCCACCGTCTTAGTATCAAACTACTCGCACGATGATAACTATCCTTCTGATCCACAAAGGCTGCGACTGCCTATGGTGGACCTGGGACAGAATTTGGCCAGCCTGTCCTCGCAACTCCAGAGAACCATAGTGGCTGAACCAGCAAAACTCCGAAGAAGTGGAAGTTATTGAAGGCCCGGCACAACCATTGAGGACGGGCAATCCAAGTATCCAAGTAGGTAGTAGTAATAAATAGTGGTAGAATGAAAGAGAAAAAGGAAAACAATTTACCTCTTTGTTCTGATAGGTGATCGGACCTGGAGCACTTGCAATTTTGTCGTTCACCTCATTAGAAAGTAGAAATAAGCGACAAGCAGTGCCAGCAACATGGGCAAATCTAGAAGATTAGAATGAAGTCTAGCTGTAACAGTGTACTACAACATATACTAAACGTTTAGCAAGTAGAAGCTAGAACAATAAAACAAATAGCAAGCTCTAGTACAAAGCAACTAACTTCTATAAACGTGTTAAGTCCTTAACGCCTCAAGTTTGGCATAGCAGCCGATTGCGGACGAGTTTCGCTTTCTTGTGCGACCGACGGAAAGTCGGTCACGGTCATTCTATTCAGGTCGACCACGAAAAGCGGGCCTAAGGGCGCTATGGGTTAGATCACATTTCTAGGAATTGCCTTCACCGTGTACTGATGATGAACAGCATTTTAGTGAGCCAGAATTTCTGCAACGAACCGAGTTTTTTTATGAGAAATGTCGGCTACCTAGCAATCCCCAATCTCCACTAACATCTACTTTGACCAATAGGTTACAATATTTTTAGTGAGCTGAAACAATTTCCTAATGGGAGATTTATTCCATAATGGCTGTTTCGGTGGATTTTTCCTTCTTCAGCGCGTTAGTCGGCTTTTTTCTCTTTCTGCCATCTGCTTTGCCTACTAAGATGGACTACCACCCACACAGAGTCTATAGAAGGTGGATCTCACCTCATTAACAACGTTGTGACTCGGTTTTCTTCCCTTTTTCTGCATAAATAGACGACAGAGTAGCTCACAGTCTACCTACAATACGCGTGTTGGGGGCGGCTCGTTGATATAGGAATACCAAGTAGCTAAGACGATTCGCTCGAAATTTGTTGCTCGCCTTTGTGTACGCCATGCGGGACTTCTTGTAGGTAGCAGTCACAATACCAGAAACCTCAAACTTGGGTAATTAAACCGTTTATCATAATTATACAACAATTACGGCATAACAATACAACTGTACAATTAATACAACAATGATACGGGCTGTGAGTAGGCGTGACCTGATCACTGGTGTTCAGGTTGCTTGTGACTGAAGAGATTGGGATAACGGTACAACTGTGTAGTTAATGCAACGATGATATAGGTAATACAATCATATGTGATATTTGGCGATATGTAAGCTGAGTGGGTAAAGATGGAATTGAGATGGTAACAAGTGATATTCGGCGATATGTAAGCTGGGTGGATAAAGGCGGAATTGAAATGATAACAAGTGATACACTTGAAGGAATTAACGCGGACACTGGTGTTGGAGCACTAAGGAATTGAGGGACCGGAAGCAGACCGGTCGAACACGGCTGAGATTTCAGGACCAGTCCTATGGGCTGCCTGTATTACATCTGAAGTGGGTGGAGCTTTGCTAGAGGGAACTGAAGGCGGCGTCCAGAGAGGGGTTGCATGTGGAATGGTGCAGGTGTCTGTTCGGAGACTTTTTTGGAACGACAGATGCTGAAAAGTGCATTCAGCTGGCTGCTGCTGATTCGCTTTCCAGCCACCTGCGAGGCAATTGCATGAAACGGTTGTTAAGAGATGATTTACCGAATGTGCAAGGATAGATGTATGACGATTACGAATAGATAGGTGTTGTAGAAGGCATAAGGTTATAATTGTTCTACATAGATAACATTCCAATATTCGTGGAGAATGTTCTCTATAACGCGAGTGTTTAAGTATCCAGTGGGGAGGCATCTGTTTCAAGCCAAGAATCGAGTAGTTGGAAAGCACAGAGAAATGAGATACTGCATGAGTATTTAGAAAATTGCATAAAGGATAAAAGAATAAAGTCTCGGCTCTGATCAATCCCTTAGGGATGCGTCGTGCATTCGACTTCATTAAGCATCGTTTGGAGGCGACTGAATGCATATCTGACCCTTATCTGGAGTGCGGGGATCGATTCCATGTGTGCCTCCGACCACTGCGCCACACGCGAGCTGAGAAAATTGCATAAATAACAAGATCACTGGAGACGTCTCGGTGAAGAGTGAGAATTGAAGTTCTTAACCCTTTCCTAGTCGTGGAAAGGAAGCTTAGCGCTTTCGGCCTTGCAGCATTCTTTATTTCCGGCGAAAGTGGCTATATGTTGAGCTCTTAGGCGTAGTACGAGATTTTCAACTTCTAATTTCAGACTTGTCATGATAACGGTGAGCGTCCGCAGTCACGTGGAGGTCATCCAAACGACGATAACTCGAACGGAGGATCTGCTCCACTCAACGGTCACGCTGCAAGAACAGAGCAGATTATCAATTTTGTTGTTTTTATATTGTTTTTATCTACTAATATTTAACGCAGATTTTCTCTTCTTAAATTCATTAGATTAGTAGCTTTTCTAAAGGCAATAAGTAGTGGATGTAGCTCTGTTAAGTAAAGCATAAAAATGTCTTTGTTTTTTCATAAACTGTTGCGTAATTGTTGTTTCATTTGAAAGCATTAAATGTAGGGAAAAGAAAAACACCAGTGTACGCTGCTGTACTGACATAGAGTTAGTTGAAGGGATTGGAATCAGTGGTTCTACTGTGCCGGATTAGATTAATGTAGACCGGCCTGCTTCTGTACACATCGGTGTTTACGTTCACAAAGCTGCATTCGAAAGAAAAAAAATTCATTGAAGCCAACGGATAACGCGTTAGAGGTTTTAGGGTCGATTAAAACAAATAGTACTAACTATGAACAGTATGCAGATCGCAAGTAGTCCATGTTTCCACTCTGGCAGAACTCATTGATGTGCGTGTGGATCTTTTCTCACCGGTACTGCGGTAGCACGGTAGCATTAACATCATATCCTTTGTTAGCTATAGTTGAGTTTCCGATGAAGTACTGTTGGCAAAGACGAGTGTGAAGTCCGTGGTCAGGACTTTTCGTTCACTGGTGGTAGAGGATCTGAAGTCGCAATCGACGTCATTCATCTGACTGGTATGAAATGACGCCATCTGCTCGACATTACTTTCGTAAGCCAGGAAGACAGCGAAAAGAAAGGAATTTTCGAAGTTCAATCATATTCAACAACTTATAAGACCATGATTGCAACTCTGTTCGAAAATTTATCACCTCGTTTGTGTTAAAAACTCTTCTACTTCGAAGGTTTTTCCATTTTGAGTCTTCATTTTGAGAAGGACGAAGTCAAACTTCAACATGGACCTGCAGAAGTTCTGCAGAAAGCGATGGATTACGACTTCATACTTCGTCAAAGTACTTCGACTTTATGGTGCCAATACCTTTTTTGTTACGTGCAGTTCCGTCAATCGTGCGTGTGGCGCAGTGGTCGGTGGCGGCATGCAATACACGTGGAGTTGATCCCCACGCCTATGGCCCAGCAAGCTCTATATCCTTCCGGGGTCGGCGAATTAGTGCCAGACTTGTCTGGGAGGTTAGCATCACTGGCTGGATACATCAGTAGGCCACCACGAGTCATTTCAAAGGCCACGTATCACCTCCAACGATGCTTAACAAAGTCGAATGCATGGTGCATCCCTCAGGGATTGATCAACGCCGAGAGCTTTATCCTTTTATCGATATAGCAGTCATCCTGAAAGTAAGACGTTGTTCGTAGAATGCTTCTTTTTCTTCGTGAAGACGAAATACACGTTTCCACATTCATCATCGGTATTTTGAAAGCAGATAACATGAAAATTATGGAGCACTGATATACACAGCCTTATGTACACCACTCATCGTGCTTATTCCGCCTTAGTCGTACAAAAGATACGTTCGTTAAGGTCGGTGCTTTGCTCTTAAGGGACATCATGGTACCGGGGCATGGTGATGTTCGTACTCGTTTACTCGTAGGTAGTAGTAATAAATAGTGGTAGAATGAATGAGATCTCGTAAAGAGGATTAGGTAGGAGGACGGGCAAGTGCTGCTTCTCGACGGACGTCCACTTCATTTTATTTAGGTTAGGTGATAAATGAATGACACTGTAAATGAACGAACGAGTCAATGTATAGCTGTTCCCTTATAGATATTAACAACATAACCATTGGATCCTGTTCTCAATTATTCAAAATCCTTCGGTAGACCGCTTTTTTATAATTAAAATCTCACATCATGAGCGAATTAAGAAAGCAGAATGCACTGCTCCTGTGTAGCACAATCATCTTCTTATTCTGAATCCCAACGCAGAAATACAAGTTGGTTTATTCGATAAGTGTTTGAAGCTCTGCACCGACGTGACGGTGCAGGTGGGTTTTTCGGACTACGGTAGGCCAAATTGTCCGAGGTACCTGCGGGTAACGGTGCAGCAGCCGGCGAGGACGTGATGTATTTATTAATTTCGGTGGTACCGTACAGTCGTATTGGTTCGCTTGGGTTTCTTCTTCTTAGTAAATCCTTTGCAACTTGGCAGGTCCTGGCAGGACTCTTGCCACCAGACTCTAAAGCGTTTTGTTGCTAAAATAACGTGATTTGACGGAAGTCCTCTTATGCGAGGTTTCGTGGCGTAGTGCTTAGCGTCGTGCGCGTAGTTTGCGTTCGTTCAGTTCTTTCTGCTTTTCGAGGTGGAGTTTATACCTTGCCTATTCGCTTACATTCGTTTCTGAATTCATTGTTTTGCGCAGTTGGCGAGCCTTGGCGCTCACTCAACACTAAACTGTTGACGGCTTTTGATCTCGTTGTCTTCAGGGAGTTGTATTATTTCATGTTCGTGTTTTCGTCAATACATTGTTAATATTAGATTTTACTTAATAAAGGTTGATGTCAAGTGTGAGGTCTCAAGCTTCCGGATCAACGCGCATGCGGATCCGCAACTTTCCGGTTAGATATCTAAAGCTAAACGCTGTTTATTCCACTTTCTTTAATTTCGTTCAATATATTTAAGGCTGCGATGGATGAAAAATACGTCACGCAAGTCTGGGAAATGCTGAAAAAGGCCATTCAGGAAATTCAGAGGAAAAACAACTCTGGCCTTAGTTTTGAGGAGCTGTACAGGAATGCGTACACGATGGTATAACGTTTTACTTCTTCTAACACTACTGCATAGTAATCGATTTTTTTATACCTAGATATTCTAGCGCTAGTGTTTTTGGGGACCTGGGTGAGTTTTGGACTTCTTTGACTAGAAGAACATCGACAAAGGAGAGATGATGTTCCTTTGTCGATTTTTCTCCCTGGTTCTTTCTTCTGTTGTTCCTATGTAGTTCGCATACTTTGCCTTCATTACAACAAGCCAGCCAATCGATTTCCCAATGTAGGTGCTACATAAATATGGCGAAAGGCTCTACACCGGGCTGAAGCAAGTCGTCGAAGACCATCTGAGAAATAATGCAAGTTCTTTTTTCCTTTAGGTTCTTTAGATCGCCAGCACTAGGCATTCGGATGTTACACGTTGTCGCTTTATCGCATTTTCAGGTGCGGGTGAAGATTGTGGAGTCACTGGATTCGGGCAACTTTTTGGAAGTCATTAACGAAACTTGGAGTGATCACACAACAGCCATGGTATACTGTTCTCTTCTATATTGGTTCTACTTTTTCATATTTTTCCTGTTCTGAGTAGTTTACAACACAATGATTGCTTCGGAAAAGCCATGCGTTGCTAGCCAAGGAAATTGCTCCTACTAGTTATTACTTTCATGCAAGTAGTCATATTCTTGAGTTAGCATCTTTCGCGTGAGTTTCTGTACTGTTCTTCTGTTTACCTGTCCTTCCTCTGTTCCACCTGAGCATTGTTTAACCCAGCGGCGACCTTGAAGAATTTATGAGTCAACCGACCATGCATTCCTGACCATTGTAAAACCGTTTTCAACTTTCTTTTTCACTTGGTCTCGCTATTTTTAAAACCGATATGCGAAGTCGATTGGTGGCGGTAGTTGTCAAGTGTGAACGCGATTTCGACGTTATATTTGGATACATGCGTGGTCCGTCCTCCCTGGTTGTGCGAGCCCAGCATAGTCTCCATTTTTTCGGAGCTTTACTGGTTTAGCTATTATGGTTTCCTAGAGTCTCGAGGTCAGCCGTGCCAAAGTCTGCCCGGACCAATACCACCACAGGCAGTCGCCGCCTTTGTGGATCAGAGGGAGATTTGCCACCATGCGACTAGTTTGGTACCAGGACGGTGACAGATCCTGGTATTGGTTTACTTTTAGCTGGGCTTCCTGGTGGAAACGCCCGTCTCCTTCTCAGATTGGGAGACCCTGCTAGGAAGGAGGAAATCCTCCCAACGATCTCATCGTGACTGAGATGTGTTCCTGGGTGTTGGGATGCGATGTACAGCGGCGGAATTTGGACTTTATAAGCATTTGGAATTTGCCTTTAGCTGTATCAAATCTACTAAGGCTTGGGACATTAACGTTCACAACTTGTGTTTTTTTAGGTTATGTTTAAAAATTGGTGTTATTCGAGTGGTACCGTCTTTTAGGTTATGATTCGCGACATCTTGATGTATATGGATCGCGTTTATGTAGAGCAAAACAAGGTTGAACAAGTTTTCCACCTAGGATTGGCAATTTTTCGGTATGTGGTTCTTTTATTTTTTCTCGCTTAATTTTCTTAAAGAAATTTCCGATGCTTTTCAGCGAACAAGTCCTTTATCAGGATTTCATTCATCTTCATTTGCGAACGACAATGCTATCACTTATTCAACAGGAGCGGCGTGGAATTGTTGTAAACTGGTAATTTTTGCGTTTTTCCTCTTAATGGATTGTTTCGTAAGCTTCTCTCCTTCAGGACGGGAATAAAAAGTGCATGTCAAATGCTAGTTGCTCTTGGAGTTCATTCTCATGAGGTGTATGTGGACGAATTCGAAACCCCTTTTCTTGTGTCTACTGCCGAATACTATCGTTGCCTAAGCATGTCTTTCTTGGTATCTAATAGTGCTAGCTTATATGTTAGAAAGGTTAGTTACATTGTCATATTGTTGCCGCTTCCAACGTTTCACAACATGATTGTCAATTTCAGTTTATCAAAACAGAAATAAGTAGGTATTTTGTAGAGAGGTAAGGCTAACGACCCTTTCGTCACACTAAATAGCTGGTGATTTGGTGTAACTTCTTGTCTGCCACTAAAGCATTTGAGATTACTGAGTTCGGAAAGATGCTTTTCATAGCGAAGAGATTCTGACGGACTGTTTATTCCCTGGGCTAGTAGATAGCACACTGTAATTGAAATATAGTAAGAAAGTAAGGAAACCGTTAAATCTTTGCGTTTCTGTGTTTATTAGTCAACGTATTCTAAGGTTGAACAATGTATCCGTGAAGAATCTGAACGAGCAAAGCGTTATTTGGATCCGCAGACCGAAGGGAAGGTCCTTGATGTGAGTTCCTCTGCAATATTTTGTCGATGCGTTGTTGTCATCTTATTTCATGGTATGGTTTGTGATTCTAGTCAGGATATAATTAAGGTGTTGGAAAATGTGCTTATCAAGGAGCATATGAACACCGTAGTTAATATGGAGCACAGTGGTGTTCACGTAATGTTGAGCAATGATAAGGTAAGATCAGCTATTGTATATTCGAAGGATAAGAAACGTTCGCACCATTTATTGAATGATTCATGTATCATTTCTCATGCGAAATTTTTTAGTTCGATCAATTAGCTGCGCTTTACGGTCTTCTTCAACGTGTAGATGGCGGCCTGGTTGTGATGGCTGATGCTATGAGCAGGTTCTGACTCTGAAGATTACTCAGTTCTAGGTTACTCTATCCATAAACGGCAAAGTGTTGGATTGCTGAATTCTTTACGAGCACTTGTTTCGATCTAACTCTTTTCATTTTTTATTCGTTAAATTCAGATATCTTCGTCAAACTGGTGCTGCTACAGTGAGAGAAGATTGTGAGAGGACTCCAGTTGTATTTGTTGACGTGCGTTTAATTTCGCTGGACTATATTTTTCTGCTCACTTTTACAGTATCTGATCCTTTTTTTTTCTTCACCGTGCCTTCATTTCCTAAGAGTTCAAATAATTGTGTCGCTCAGGATCTTCTGGAGCTAAAAGAAAGGTTCGATGAATTCTTACTGATGTCGTTCCAACGCGACAAAATGTTCAAGAATAGGATCCAAACTGAATTTGAAACATTCATTAACCTTAACAAGAACAGCCCGGAATATCTATCTCTTTATATGGACGAGAAGCTTCGCAGAGGATTACGATCGGTAACATTCGTTTTTCGTACTGGCCTATGTGCTTTCATTTTCACCGGCTTGTTCGAAAGTTAATAGCGGATTTTGGCCTGTATTTTTAAGATGGCATATAGCTGCTAAGAATAAACTTTATTAATGGAAGTAAAAGGGCGCGTTGGCGCAGTGGTCGGAGGCACCCTGCAATACATACACGGTATCGGCTTCTGCGCCCGTGGCTCATCAAGCCTTCCATGCCACTGGGATCGGCAAATTGGTGCCATACTTGTCTGGGAGAATAACAGCACTAGCTCAATATAACGGTAGGCCACTGCGAGTCGTATATGCCAGATATGCCTTCAATCATCTCTAACGATTCTCATTGAAGTCGAATGCATGGAGCATCCCTCATGAATTGATCAACGCTGAGAGCTTTGTAATTTTTTTTATTTGATAGAAATAGGAACTTAGAATCGACATATTTGTGATAGTCATAAGCATGTCTATTTATACCAGTTGCTTAAAATTCTGGACAACTGGAGGTGATGAAGTCGTTGAAGACGGTTGTCCTCTTCTTGAGTTTTAAAGATTGCTCAAACAGGAAATTGCTGAGATGTTTGAAGAAGCCGTAGTCAGTAGACGAGGGGTCTGCCCAGTGTAGTGAATGAAGCAGAATTTCATAATGTTGCTGTGCATTATCATGGAGATGGATTGGTACTTTTCTGTTGAGGAATACTAAGCGCTGCCACTGAAGTTTCTGATGGGTTTTATGTATATGTTGGTTGAGTTTTCTCCCGTAATCGTTTCAGCCAGATTCAGGAAGTCGTGGGAGCCATGATGGATTAAAACAGCAGCAAACCACTATACGGCCGGCGTGAATTTGTTCTGGTGCAATTTCGGTTTCTTTCTTGAAGTGGGGGCAGCTTTTTTGAATGTCATTGAGTTCATGTGGTATCTATTTGTCGAGTTTCTTCGACTTTCCAGTTTATTTTTTTAGATGTTCTGAAGCAATTGAGATGCCTACGATGAGTTCTGCATGTTCTCGAACAGTTGCATATGAATTTGTTTCCAGAAAAGTTTTCACCTTATCGTTTGCCACAGCAGAAGGGCGTTCGTGAGCTCACTCAACATCAAAGTCGAATTCGTCACAACGAAACCTTTGAAACTAATGTTCCAACTGTGCTTTCATTAACACTTCCTTCGCTCCATACCCCGTTAATGTTTCGAGCCGTTTGCACTGCCTTTGATCGAGTTTAAATTCGTAGGAGTAAATTTGTTCTATTTGCTGTTTCGACATCTCAATTTCTGTAATGATACGGCATTCGAAAAGAAATTTTCTGCTAGAATAGATAGAAAACAAATGAAATTAAAAGATGACACTAGTTTCCGAAAAGCCCGATGTCATCCGTGAATGCTGTCTAATCGTGCTCTGTTGCTCTATGTTCATTTTCATAGGCTGGAATATTGTAGCACATATGCTTCTTTTTAGGAAAATGACGAAAATGCCGAGAGGCTTCTTGATAAAGCTATGGTACTGTTCCGCTTCCTGCAGGAAAAAGATGTTTTTGAAAAGTGAGTTGTACATCTTCTTTGTTGTGTATGCTGTCGATTTGAATTGTGCCAGGTATTACAAGCAGCACATGGCTAAACGCCTTTTACTTGACAAAAGCATTTCTGATGACATGGAGAGAATGATGATCAGCAAGCTTAAAGTAGGTTGTTTGTATAATTTCTCATTAGTTATGGGAGGAATCATATGTTTTTCAGACAGAATGTGGTTGCCATTTCACTCTAAAATTGGAAAATATGTTTCGTGATAAGGAACTGTGGGCAACCCAAGCCAATGCGTTTAAGGAATACCGAGACTCTGTGGGACTTGCTTTCATGTATTAGGTCCATGACACCTTATATTTTGCATGTTTTGCAGGCAATAAGGAGTGCTCGTGAGGAACCAAAAATGAGTGGGGTGAGTTTAATATTATTAATTGTCAATTCCATTCGCCTTTTCCGTTTTCTTTTTTTTCTTGTTTTTGAAGTTTTTAAATTTATCACTACCTACGTTTTATTTCTTTAAGCACGTCCGACTTGCTAGTTCTATCGACATATCTGTACGAGTGCTAACTGCGGGAATGTGGCCAACACAAAGTGTTCCTGTCTGTATTTTGCCTCCGTCATGCGAAATGGCTTTTAATGTACTGTTGCTTTCTCTCTTGAATAGACTCGCTTTTACAGTTGAGTTTGGAGGCCTAATTTTTCAGATGTTCAGCAACTTTTATGTAAGCAAACACAGTGGTCGAAAACTTACGCTAAACACAATGTTGGGTACGGCTGACGTAAAAGCGATTTTCTATAGTCCAGTTTCCGTTCGAAAGGTATGGACAGCGAGTTATTACCACTTCTAGCGTAATGCGGGGAGACTGCTAACAGTATTTTTTTTTTTGCGGGTTTAACTACACTTTTTTCTTCTAACCTTTTTTCTCTTTTTCTGTCCATTGAATTTTTTTCCCTTGAAATTCTATATGATTATATAAGTACCAAAAAAGCGTTGTGCTCATTATTTACGCAAACTTATCTTTCACCTTATTGAGCTGTTGTAGATCTACAAAGCTTTGGTGCAGAATAGAGCATTTATAGTGGGCGTAAGAATATCGAACTGCATATCTTAGCTTGAAATTGTTTTCTGGCGATTGTTCAGTCTTTTCCAGGAGATATAATCATAATCTGAGCATGATACGAATGTCTTTCTTGGGGTCAGATAATGTTGCTATCTAATTGCCACTGAATATCATAGGATTTTCAATCAAAACTCCTTGGAATATGAAGAAATGGAGATTTGAAATTAAGAAACAGGCTGTCCGATAACGAGCCATACAATGCAGATTTTCGTAATTGGAGCCCATCCAGTTTCTTGGAAGTCAACGAAATGACATTACTTGATTTTATTTTACGTATTGGTTACTGAACGTGGCGAACTCACTTGTCCGAAGATTGTCTTCTTTGAGCATTCCTACTATTCGTTTTTGGAGAAAACTTGAATGTGATATGATAATGTTTTCGGCTAAACCCTTATGTGACTGTCCTATCTTACGATTTCTCTCCATTGGATGATTATCCACTCTTTCTGTTTTCTTGCTGTGTAATGATAATTCACTATTCGAGTGTCGATTGCGCCCATAATCAGGTTTTCGGGTTGAGTAAAACACTCGTGGGTCCGATTGAAGAGTATCTTGATTATAATATCATAAGTGGTCGCCCGTACATTTCACTCCTCCGAAATTCTATCAGGAGCGATTACTAACGTCATCGCTTTGGTGAAGTAGAAGTCTGAATAGGCGCGTTTTATGCTCATGCATCTACTGACCTATAAGTGATTCCTGTGTGTTTGTATCGGTATTTGGTGTCTTTAAACGTTAAACCAATAATTCAGGGTAAAAAACTCGATATCTATTCTTCCATTTAAGCGTAGAATAGCAATATCTGTTTGAGAATAGATTTTCTTAAGGGTGGCTGTGATTAGCAAAAGCATTGAAGGATAGTTATCACCTGAAAGAGGCTATAAAGAGGACGTTTTACTAATGAAGGCACAGTGTTTGTAGGCGTTGGGGGAGAGGTAAGCAAAGCGCAAAAGTAGACCTTATTAGTGACAGAAGTGTCAAGATTGCAACTGTTGAATCCTAACTAGAAAGGCAATGCAGATTGTACTGATTAGTATCAGGTATGTTTACGTTAGAACTCTAGGAGTAGGCAGTGAGCAGGTGTGTCAGTAATAAACCGTTGTCCGCATTTTTACTCATTCTCTCTATCAGACTCCTCTTTAATGTAATGAGTTCAAAATCGTTAATAATTGATTGTCAACCAATTTTATATGAGTTTTACCTACTTAAAGATCTCCCTAATATAAGGGATCTCGAGCCGATTAGTTGCGAGGCTACGTGGCTCGTCCTCAGGTGGTGCACAGGAGGTTAATCGCGGACCAAAAGCGACCTTTGCTTCCCTGAGATGCAGGTGAATCCAAGGGATGGACTTCCTGTTTCTGCTGCCCCGATTTGGGATACAGGAGCTTTATGCAGATTGCATTCTACGAGTCGATACGGCGAAAAGCCTGCAATTAAGTCAAGAGGAAGTATAAGGTTAGAAATCACCTCCAATAAATATGCTCCATGTCCACTCCGGTAGATACTGGAAAGCTACCCGTAAGTATACCCGGCCTCCACGTTCACAGCTCAGCAAGCTACACGTGGGTATTAGAGAGCGAAGCACAGTAAAATAATCGCGCCACATTTTCCTGATCCCGAAAGAGTCCGCGACTCAGCGTTTGCTATGGTGAGTACGGAACGGTTGCTAAAATCTCATGGCCAATAGAAGCTGCTTGGATTTCAAAGAACTATGGTGACGATCTGTACCTACAATGCACATACACTTGCATATGAGTTCTCGAAAAAAGACTTGATCATGCAAGCAACAATTATAAGGAACGACGCCATCGGAGTGGCCAAGACGAGGTGACTCCACCTATTCAGCGCCGTCCATAACACCGGGTTTCTCAGAACATGTGGCAGCAGAGAATTAAACGGCTTTGGTGTTCTCGTCAACACGAGTTTGTCCATGAACATCGATTCATTCGAACAGCTTAGAACTAGAATCGGACGTTTACGATTAAAAAAATGTGAATCAATACCGGCTTTGACAATCTTCGTCGTTTACGCGGCGACATCGAACTATTACGAAGAAGAAGTCGATACGTTCTATATGGACCAGGAAAAGTTCTACAGAAAAGGCTATACATTCTTCAAGGTCGTCATTGGTGATTTTAACGTTAAGATTGGACCAAGAAGAATTTCACTTTGGAACACGCGGATTAAAATGAAAGGAGTAGGGTGAGAGGCTTTCCAAGCTTATTACAGTAATCAAGACAATTCATAGTAACTTTCAATTCCAGGGACTCCACTCTCAACGATGGACATGGGGGTCTCCCTATGGAGAGTGCCATAACGAAGTAGTCCACATCATAGTGAATTGAAGGTTTTTCCTAACTGTTATCGCCAATGTCCCAAAATTCTACACTACATTCTACACTACATTCTATACATTCAAGTCCATCTCCTCCGTGCAAGGTTTTGTTTCTTGCTGAAAGAAGACAAAGCCGCTAATTCAGAAATCTAATTCCCAAAACCACCATGAACTGAAGTTAACTCAATTCATTAGTCGACTGTTGCGAAGAAGCCGTTCTGATTAACGTCGGCGAGAGATACGATCGGCTCTTTCAACATCTTCACGTTATCGTTACCAAAACTAGAGTTCGAAAGTCAATAAGAGACGTCTTTCTCCGGAAATATTTGACCTGAAACGAGCTGCAAGGAACCGGAAACTCACGTCCGAACTTGCTAATAGTGCTAACAGGCGTTAGAGGAAGATCTTGGAAAAAGAAGAGCAACAGTTATGGTCGAAGCTGCAGAGGCTGAGGAAAACACTCGCGATGCCCACCGTAGCTTTACCATTTGTAAAACTAAGATGACTACTCTCTGACCCCCATGTGGGAGAGTTACAGCGTCCCAGAAAGACAATGGAGAAAATGAATTACGATTACTACTCAGACCTCTTCAGTAGTCACGTCCTCCTATCCTGTTATGAAATAGAAGAGGATAGATATGTACCACCGGTTCTCCACGCCGGTAGAAAATCGATAGCACTAAGCCTACACAGAATAAGAACTGAACACCTGAGGAAGCCGCCAGTGCTCATAAATACGCTGGTTCGGCTGTTCGCAAGTTAAGGTTAAATGATAAAGCTCTTGGGTTTGATCAATCCCTGAGATATGCGCCATGCATTCGACTTCATTAGGCATCGTTTGGAGGTGACTAGATGCATATCTGGCCTTTACAGTGACTCGCGGTGGCCAACCGATGTATGGAGTCAGTGCTTCTATCCTCCTAAACAAGTCTGGTGCTAATTTGCCGACTCTGTAAGGATGAAAGGCTTGGTGGGACATCGGCGTGGGGATCGATTCCACGTACGTTTCATTTCGCAGGCTACCCGTCCGAATGCAGTGTTCCTGCTCTATGGAAGACTAATAAGATCGTGCTCGTCTTCAATCATGGTGACCTCCACGATACGGCAACTGTCGCCCAATCTACTCGATGTCTGTCATCTGCAAACTTTTCGCTTCAGTCGTCTTAAACAAGTTTAGCAGAATACTGGACGATGGACAGCCGTGTTAGCAAGGAGAGTTTCGAAAAACCTATACGATAGACTACATACACAACCGATACTATCTCGCTAAAATTATTTGCCGCCGTCTTGGAGACCATCATGCGAACATTGGAAAGGGACAACATGAGAGTGGAAATTAATGGTGGGCAGTTACACCATCTTCGCTTTGTTCATGATATCGTTCTTATAACGCCAAGTATTAGCCAAACCGAATTACGGAACTATCGATGATGCCAGAACCCTGCCATAATTGATACTTTCACGGCGGTGTTTTATGGCAATTATTTCTGTTATTGTCCCCATTGTTTTCTTTCTTAGCTCAATAAGCTGAGGGTACTATGAAATAATAATTAAAAACTTCTAGAAAGCTACCATGTAGATGTAAAATGAACTGTTTTACAGGCCGATTCATCTGAGGTGACTGAAACTCGTAAAGAAGAGAACAAGATTCTCATGGTTAATACTCATCAAATGGTCATTCTCATGTGTTTTAACAACCAGCCTCGCATCACCTTCCAAGAAATTATGGTATGTTTTCTTTTTTTTTTTTGTAAATTCAGTCGTTCTGGACTTGTTGTTTGCTTTGGTCTTCGTCCGCCAAAATGTATTATCGTCGATGGCAAATTCTTCAGAACCAAACCAATATAGCAGAAAGGGAGCTTAAACGTAATCTACAGTCTCTTGCGATGGGTAAGCCAACTCAACGTGTTCTGTCTAGGAAAGGGAAGGGAAAAGATATTGGTTAGTTATCTATGATGGGTTTTGAATGAAGGAGTTTTCCATATATTGTCTGACGTTTAACTTGTAGGCTATCGTAACTACCATTTAATTATCGGCGTTATTCTAAGTCTAGAGTTTATTATTAGGTGCACTGTCCCAGAAATAGGTTAACATTTTGGGCTATCTAATTAAAGCTCATTTTTGCGAGCGTTCTTTAAAAATTTTCTTGGTATTTTCCATTTCCTTTGGTGCTGCAGTATTAGTAGCTCACTGAATTCATCTTTGTTTTTGCTACGTTTTGTAGTTGCGATAGATTTATTTTATTGGTGAAGCAATATCATTGGAAGGGCTGTTTTAGACTGCTCGGACGAATTCTACGTAAATGACAACTTCCAGTCAAAACTGACTCGCATCAAAGTACAACTGGTAACATTTAAAGGTGAATCTGAGCCTGAAAAGAAGGAAACAAGAGCAAAGGTTAGGGAACATGTTTTTCTTGTCAGCGGCTTTAAATATGCTTATTATTCTTTTACATGTGGTACGAAATTAAATGGTTGCTCTCGTTCAGGTTGAAGATGACAGAAAACACGAAATCGAGGCTGCAATTGTGCGTGTTATGAAGTCCAGAAAGGTTCTTGATCATAATAACCTCATCACTGAGGTAAACTATGCGGGACGACAGTGACACAAGTGTCACTGTATTTACTTTTATTCATAGGACCTAAAACTACTAACTTTTAGGTCACGCAGCAACTGAAGCACCGATTTCTTCCCAATCCAGTGCTAATCAAGAAAAGAATCGAATCTCTGATCGAGAGAGATTACTTAGCGAGAGACGTCCAGGATTTAAAACTTTACAACTATGTTGCCTGAAATGTACTTTTGTTCTCATATACGTACCCGCTTTATGAATAGAAAATGTCGATTTAATCCATCAGCAGGAAAGGAATTTGGCTAGTATCAGTAGATCGAAACCTTTATATTGGTTCAAAAAAATATGTTTGGATTAATCTCATTTTCTAACCTTTTGCTAGGACGGGTAAAGATTAACACCTATCATTTAGTGGTACGTTGCCAGCCCAATTCTAGGTTGAAGCTTCTTTGGTAGCTCCTCTAACATTTGTAATATACTCTAACCAGCGCACGTCGTGAATAACATCTGCAGGCGAGCCATGAGACATCCCTCTACTTGAAATCTGGCTTTGTATGTGTCATATGTTCTTGTGTTAGTACTAATGGAAGATTTTTATAACCGACGTATCTCTTGCTTTCATGTTCTCTGTACTCGTTTCATTTGATTGGTCACAGCTCGTTTATTCGTAAGTCGATTCCTGCATAAGTTTAGAAGAGTTCTTTTTGGATTCACTGGATCCGTAACCTGTTTTGGTTACCTTGAACTAATCTTGAGGCATGTGTATTTGCTTGCAATATTTGTTAAAGCGGGTGTTGTCAGGCGCCTGATCTGATCCCGTTTCCCATTTTCGTTTCCCATCACTTTCTGTAATATTTAATGACTAGTATTCTGACTGGAATATAGTTCATTCTTTTGTTGTTATCCTTCTGAACATACATAATAACGTTTCTTTTTTATTCGTGCGTTTCTATGAGGTTGTAATTCGTCACATTAACGACGGCGTTCATCCGTTGAAAATGGATTTTCGGAAGTTTGCAGCCTTCAGTGTAGAACGATCCGGTAGTTCCGCTCCCAAATGGGAATCTAGTCGGTAGTCATATAGCTTTCTTTTCCTTTCTTTTTTTGTTTCGTGTGGTAAACAAATGCTGTGAATGGCGGGTCGTTCTCCTTCTCAAGGCGGAGTTTTGTGTTGAATGTATTTTATTTCATCCCAACGAGTTCATGTCAGTATGTGGGGTTTCGGTGTTCACGTCGCCCACTGGAACATTATTTGGTTTCGCCAGTTCATATGCTTGATGTATCTACACTTTATGCTCTGCTCTTCATTATTATTGGCACTAATGAAGTAAAACTATCTTTTACATGCCTCTTCAGATGTTCTGTAGTACCTAGTCATGAATACGGTGCTTGAATGACTCAATTTAACGAGTCGTGCAGTTTCAAACACATTGGAAGTTTAATATAACTTATTCCTCTCAACGGTTTGTCGCCTCATCGTGGATGGAAGGTGTTTCTGGGTGTGAGGCTACGATGTACAGCTGGGGGGCTAGTCCTCGACCTCCAGCAGCGTCTTCCAAGCCGAGGAGTCCAACGTTTCCATCAGGAAGTCCAGCTAAGAGTAAACCAATACCGTGCCAGGATCCACTACCGTCCTGGTATCAAACTAGTCGCATGGTGACAAATCTCCCTCTGATCCACAAGGGTGGCGACTGCCTGTGATGATGGCGAACTGAGACGGACTTTGGCCAGACTATCCTCGGTACTCCAGGGAACCACAATGGATAAGCCATCAAGTTTCCGGAGAATCGAACTTATGCTGGTGCCCGCACAACGAGTGAAGACGAGCCACCCGAGTATCCGAGTTTAACTTATTCCATAGTGTCACCAGATAATCGCGCTGGAGCTTTCCGTGGTCGTCACCACATTCAGTAGCGGATGCATGTGATAGGTGGAGCCTTTACTACCTTTTGACTAGATCTCTTGCAGGAACTTAGCTATTGGTGACGTGGTTTATTCAAAGATAAGCTTCTGAATACAAAGGTTGCGCTTTTCAGGCTGAGCGGGCGATGACAGACCGCATACAGTTGGTTTCAGACCTTTATGGCTACGTCAACATGGGGTGTTTCCATTTCCTCTAGAGGAAATATATCGCTTATTGATGCGACATCTTCCATTTTCCTCGACACATGCGTTATGTCTCCGAGTTGCCTGCTGGATTAGACTGCTGGAAAGACAGGCAGTACGTCATATTTTTCTTCTGTACCTGTTCTTCGTATAATGTCACTGAACTGAATGATAACTGTACGTGATACTCGCAGTTCACACTTTCGATTACGCGTTCAACATCTTAGCTTCCATATCTCCAAGGCACATGTTAAAGTAGAAGACATTGCGGAGTTAAAAATCTTGGTACAGTCTTGTGAGTTATCGTCTTCTCTTCGATGCTATTGTATCATTCCGTTCGTCTCATTTTACAGTTGTGGAGCTGTGGTCTATGATTTTGTCTTTATACATAGATTTGGTGCTAGGGATACTCATTTTGTTGAGTGTAAATTGAGGTCAAAGTGAGTGCTTTTTTCATTAACACTATTTTCTTTAACCGAAGCCTACTTCTATAGATGGCTTTAAGAGCCAGCCTGCATACGTTCATCTGTCCGAAGCTTAATGCTTAGTGAAATAAGAGCAATGCTTTTTACCAGCAAAGGTGGTTTAGCTGCCATCTTTGATTTTCGTTCCCATATTATTGCCTTCTTTCAGTAAAATATGGCGCGAGATAGTGCTCTGTTATGGAGTCATATCTTGCTGTTTTGTCTTGTGACAATGTCGTTAGATAATGGTGAAATTCTGCTTGTGAAGTTGCTGCGTAGCTCATGAAAGATTCTGTACACTGAGTGGAGATGCGACATTTGTCTTGGACTTCTATAACCGTTTTTTTTTCTCACATAGTAGAGGACCTCCTTAATGAAAATGGGTCGAGATCGTGTCTTTCACTTCCCAGATATTTTTTTGTTTTCGTTATCATGTGGATATTATCTATTCTGTTGCACCCTTTTTGAAGCCATGCTTGCACACGTGACTTTCTTTCGACCAATGTAACGGTAATCGTGTTGAGGATGACTCCAGCGGACAGACTGTAGGTGTAGATAGAGGAACCGAGGTTGTCGATGTTGTGTCTTCCGTTTTTGCAAAAACATGGTTTTGCTGGTATTCTATTAAACCGTGCATTTTGATAGGTAGTGTATGAAAGGGGCACGTGTGGTGCAGTGGTCGGCGGCGCCCTGCAATGCAGATGGGTTCGATCTGCCCGCCCCAGGCTCACCAAGCCTTCCATTTCTTTAGGGTCGGCAAATTGGTACAGGATTAGCTTGGATGGATAGCAGCACTGGCTGGATACATCGGTAGGCCACCGCGAGTCATTTTAAAGGTTAGGTATGCATTCAATCGCCTCCAACGACGCTTATTGAAGTCAAATGTATGGCGCTTCTCTCAGGGATTGGTTAACGCCGAGAGCTTTATCCTTTTTTAGTGTATAAAATACTTAGTTGTTGTTCCATCGGGGAGACAGTTACGTAGAACGTTGAGAGGGGGTTTCTCGAATTGTGAATTACCATGAATGGTAGCACGCTTCATAGCGTTTCAGTTTCTATAGTCTTTCCAGATATATGGGCAGCTTAACCTGGAACGGTCTTGAAGTGATACCATTATTACGTACTCGTCCTATCACACCTTGTGGTATCGTGGGCTCTTTCATGATCAGGTGATGAAGCTGTTTGTCCCTACCTTCTTTTGAGGGAAGCATGCATAGCTTGCAAGGTATCGCAAGGGTATGAGTGAAATTTATTTCTCGTACCACCTCTGCCTACCTCTGTAGTTATGTGCCACCTCCCTTTTCGTTTTGGCCCTTTCATCGCAGAGTTTTGGTAAAGTTAACGTGTAAGATATAATTAACGTACACGCATATTGAACCATACGTGCACGAATTGATATTTTTACGGGCACAAAAAAGCTATATGTCACTTCGGACTCAGTAGATATATAGAATCTGTCTTGAATCCATCTCTATCTCATAGTAAGCATAACACATAGTCACTTTTGATACGCGTCTGAACGCCTATTCACCACATGGAGACTTACCATATAGGTTTACGACAAGCTTGTTGGAGATTCTTTGTGAGTGAGTTCCGTTGAAGTAGTAACTAGTTTCGGAAATCGCATTAGATCATCCTTATCTTCAGTTTATACTCAATCGGAATACTGCTTCTTGTTTCCAGAAAAGAACTGTCCCGATATTTATTGAAACATGAGGCTTGGGATTTAACTTATTCTCTATCATTTGAGTGAAAATGAAGTAGTGATAGAGTGAAGTGAGGTGCTCATTATGAATTAGTGTTATTGTTAGTTTCATTGGAGTGAAAGAACAGAGTGTATGCAATCTTTTCCTTTTAACTTCAACCATAATGCAATATGTAAGCGGCCTGCAATGGCATGGTTTATTTATTTACAAAAATGTGCTTCTTCGATGTCCAAAGAGACATTACAAGAGAGTACTTCCTTTCCACATAATGACGTCAATAGAACTGAACAAATTTCGCGATTCTAAGAAAGGATCTATCTTAGTTGTGAACCAGTACGACGATATGAATCAGGGTGCTAGTGTTTTAATGATTTGCAGGAATGTTTATGTACAGAATATTATTCAACGATAATTATTCGAAAACACTCGTCGGGTTAGTTGGTGTTGAAGACCGGTCATTTCCACTTCTGTTGTCCTCCTTCAGTGCACCGTAGCCAACTGAGTGCTGGTGACGACTGTCTCCAAGTCCTGAGAAGCAACGTGCTGACAGCAATGCTAATACCTAAAATCAGCAGCTTATATTCTCTTCAAGGGTGCTTTGTTATCTGGAGAGAATCTTTTTCACTTCAGTGATTAATTTCTACACTATTTTTCCATTCATTTAGGGGGATACGATGAGACAAAATTGTCGCAATGACGTTGTGTGGTTTGAAAAGGCTATATTAATAATCAGCTGGAAGGCATAATGATTACATTTCATGTTGTTTCCTTTGAAATGTTCCAATGTTTCTCCTCAGGCTAGAAAAAAGCAATTTCCTGAAGGAAAAACAACAAGAGCTTAGTTTGTTTACTTTCAGATGACAAAAAATAGGTGTAGAATAACTAAGAGAAGATTTAAAACCTACTTTGAGGGGGAGTAGAAGTTCAGTGCTCTATACCTATTTT